TTCATATCTTCTGATTGTTCCTATTTTGAAATAAGAACCTTGGAATCTATCGGTGTATATGCGCGATGTACAAGCATGCTTTTATCATAAGTATATCTTAGGGTAGGAACAATCAAAAGATCTGAAACTTTCACAATAAACTATTCTCATTGAGACCTGTCATCATACAAAGTTTCAATTCCAAATTCCAAATTAAGTTTTTCTGATGTTTCCAAGAGGAGTACGGCATTGTGCTTCAAAATACCGTAAAAAAATGCCGTATCTCGACAGCAATAAGTTATGGGGCCGAATGTTTTTCAAAGTATTCATAGATCAGTAGGGCCTACATGATGCGCATAATTTTGATTTAAAAATGATGAATCGCTTCAGGACCTTCCATCATGGGTAAACAGAGTAGTCACTTTCACTTATTCACATTATAATCTATGTAATTATGGTGTTATCTAAGTCAGCATCGGAAGATGACGTTGGGAAATATTTTCATGAACAAGCAAACCAGTGAACTACACATTGACCAAAAATAGTATCCAAATAAATATGAACCTAGAGTTCCTTCTTTTTTTTTTGTTCGGAGCTTGAGAAGATAAACTATGTTTCTACTGAATACACTCACGTACTCTACAACTTATCAGATTCAACCAGACTTCAATTAAAGTCAAAAACACTTAATATCAATATATGAGATCAGTTCTTTATTCTCATTTGTTTCGATTATTTTATGTTAAAAGCTTTTGAAAACTGACACATATACGAAAGCTAACATTTTCTCAGTTTAATATTATCAAGCTTTCTGAAGACGTCGAATTTAGCGTAGCAATAATGTTGTTGAAAACTTAAGCAAGATTTTCAACATTTTTGACTAAAAAAATCAGTTGACTAAAAAGAGAAAACTGAACATGAATAGTTTCTTTATAAGTATATTTAAATAGTATTATTATTCTTTAAAATATCAATATGTCCTTCTAGATACGTTTTGAGTAGCCTATATTTTAAAACAATTATAAGTCTATCTATAAGAGCATTGATTTGATCTGAATATGTGTAATCTTGTTAAATTAAAATACAAACTTTTTCATTATCAGTCAGATGTGAATCTGTATCGGTGAAAGCCAAATTCAAACAAAATTTGGTCTACAGTTTCATTTTCAGTACTGCTCGTTGTGCAATCGAATTTATATACTGAAACATACTGGTGTGATTATCAATGTGTACAAATTTTATAAATCATCAGCATAAGCTACCAGACTGTCTGAGGACACCGTTCTCTATCACAAGATAGCCGAAAGACAGGATAATTATCTGTAGGTCACTAATTGATGCTAAAAGGCAAAAGCTTACAAAAAATAAATAGTGAGCAGCGGTGTAGTAGTGAAACAAGACTCTTATGTTTTTATTGTTATGAGGAAGACGAAGTTATGACTTATCGAGGGCTTGATTTGGTCGCTAGAATATCAAGAAAGTAAGAAATCACTCATGCCAGATATATCGATCGAGATGATTCGATCTGACAAGTTTTTCTGGTGTTGGTGTCAGTTTAGGAAAAATATCATATTAGTTGGAGCTTTGACTTGTTTTCTCACTTTTGGTTTGTAACAATATGAAAAATATAAGTGCAGAAAATCTTATTCTGCATTTGACTGCAATTGATTTTTTTGCCATTGTTTTCTTTCATTAGATCTGTGTCTGGAACCATATTCGACTCCATTAACCTATCAGACTGGCACTTCTCCAGTTTCTATAACACTAGGCAGTTTTAGTAACAGTAAACAACTAGATATCATAGTGGCCAACAAACAAGATGGTGATGTTAGTGTGCTTCTTGGCAGAGGAAATGGAATGTTTCAAACTGAAGTTAAATATGCTACTGGTCCTTTACCTAGACTTATAATATCAGCTGATTTCAATAATGATAGGAGACTGGACCTAGCGATGGTCAATGCAGGAGCAGATACCATTACTCTACTGTTTGGCTATGGTAATGGTACGTTTCAGTCTCAGATATACTTGAGAGCTGGCTACCAGCCGTTTGGTGTGGCGTCAGCTGATTTTAATGATGACAGTAATGCCGATCTTGTTGTGGCCAACACAGGCGAGGACACCGTTAGCATATTGCTTGGCAATGGAGACGGTACCTTTCAGATCCAGACTAAGTATGCGACTGGCCCTATTCCATTTGCTGTAATATCCGGTGATTTCAACAATGATAATAAAACAGATGTGGTAGTGGCTCAATTAGGAGACAACGCCGTCCGCGTGCTGCTCGGTAATGGCGATGGAACATTTAACGACCAAAAGCAGTATAAAAGCGGTCTAGCTCCATATGCTCTGGTGTCAGGTGATCTTAATAATGATAACACACTCGATGTGATAGTGGTTAACTCAGGTGACAATACTGTGAGTGTGTTGCTTGGCAGTGCAAATGGTACCTTTCAGACTCAGAAGATCTTTGCTGTTGGTGCCAATCCAGAGTATGCGATAACAGGTGATTTTAACAATGATGGAAAACTGGACATCGCAGTAGTCAACTACATGGAAAACACCGTTAGCATACTGCTTGGTAATGGTGATGGGACTGTTCAGTATCAAACCAAGTATGGGACTGGTGCTGGTCCAACTTCCATTGTCTCAAACGATTTCAACAATGACAACAGACTTGACCTAGCAGTGGCCAATACCGTAGGAACCCTTATCAGCGTTCTGTTGGGTATTGGTAATGGAACCTTTCAGACTCAGATCACATATGCCACTGGTAATTGTCCAATATCGATAACATCAGGCGATTATAACAATGATAATCAAACGGATCTAGCCGTGGCTAACTACCTCGAATGCACTGCCACAGTGCTTTTTGGTAAGCCCGATGGATCCTTTCATATTCGAACTCAATATGCGACCGGCAGCAGCCCGTCGTCTGTGATATCAGGTGATTTCAGCAATGATAAAATTCTGGATGTGATAGTGGCAAACTTAGACGATAATACTGTCAGTATGCTACACGGCAACGGTAATGGAACATTTAAGAATCAAATCAAGTACGCAACCGGTAGTCGTCCCTCTTGTGTCATATCAGGTGATTTCAACAATGATCAAAACATGGATATCGTAGTGACAAACTACGGCG